TAAAAAAAATTGAATCCCACCACTGATTATCTGGAATGCAAAATTGTCCTTATTTAACTGCCACCAACTCAAGTCCAACTCTTGGTGACCATCTGGACAAATCTTTACTGTCGTAGTCTGTTCCTGGTGACAACTCACTGGTCTTTCAGAGATAATTCAGTGATACCCTTGATCCTTCTCTGTTCTTGATCCATCTTCTCCTTTCTTTAAGCTTGCCAAACATATTTGCTTTTTCTGGTCCATCTAGTTCCTCGTTCACATGTCCCACAAATGTGAGTGTCTGCTTGCTAATCATGGCCTCGAGGTAGCTGTCATTTTTATTTAAGACTGATAATTGGCTCTTCTTGTCACCCATGATATTCTTAGTAACGTCCCCAAAATCCATAATTCATAATTTATTTCCTTCCTCTGATTCTTTACCAGCATTTAACTCTCACACTATAATGGTAGTCCTGGAAACACCATCATTTTGGCATTTTAGGGTAAAAAACATACATGACTAGAGCCCAGTGCTTTGAAACAAACCCACATTTTCACACATAACCAGATGAAGAGAATGTTCAGTCAGGATGCTGGGAGACATCATGGGAGGGAAACTAAAGAGAGTAACAAAAGTGTATTGGATTGGTTTACTTTCTGATAAATAGGCTGTTGTGTTTTGGAGTGTTGTTCACCTGGCTGCAGGTTTCTGCTTGTTTTGTCACAGAACCTGATATTGATTTGGGCTGAGGGAGAAGGCCTGGCCCTAAGTCTTCCACGGGAGCTCCATGGCTGAAGGAGAAGTAGAATGGATCTACCTACTCTTTGTTCATCACCATCCCATGTATATCCTGGGGCTGGGAGGGACAACTTGATCCTGTCCTCTAGGAAGTTTTTATGGCTGTGAGAAAACTAAAATGTGAGTCTGCTCTGACCCACTTTGAGTCTAGCACCTACACCATCCCTACACATAGAATCTTGGCTGAGGGATCTAACCAAAGTGAGAGATTAGTAGGGATCTTCAAATTTGAGACCTTTAAGACTTGTGGACTTCAACTCCCAGAATTCCTCCTCCAGTTATGTCAGCTCAGGAATTCTGGGAGTTGAAGTCCACAAGTCTTAAACTTGCCAAGTTTGAAGACCCTTGGATTAAAATCTGGGTCTCTCTACTCCTGGTCCAGTACCATTATTACATAGGTATCTTTCATGCTGCACCACCCTTGAGCAGAGAGGAAATGATTGACCCAAAGCATGGCCAAGTCTAGAATAGTATCCGGGTCTCACCTCTCCAAGTTTTGCATTCTCTCCATTAATCTTTTGTGCTGAGAAGGTGGAACTTCCATGTCTGAAGAACACTAGAACCTTGGTCCACCCCATGCTTAGCCCAGCACCTTCATCACTACATCACATTGGCTGTTGGACTGAGCAGAAGGGTTGACCCAAGGTCATCCAGTTTCCATGCCTAAGAGTGGAGTAGAACCTCAGTCCTCCAGCAGTTTTATCCCCTACTACCCTATGCTGTCTCTTCTTACAAATGGGTATTTTGTAATTATCTGTGCCCATTATAGTAGAAAATCAGGGAGATCATCCGTGGCATGCCAACAAACTTTCAAATGTAAGGGAGATTGGGCAACAACTAGGAGAACCTTGTCAAAGAAAAGGAGACTTTCCAGAAGACAAATCACTTGTTTCCCTACAATACTCAAGATGCTCCCTGGAATAATAGCAAATTCTATGTATCTGAAGGGAAATTCTCTCTGCCCAGCTGAAAAAAGGGAAATTACAAAAAAAATAATAATCAGGAGGAACAAACAATCTTTAAAACAAATCATAACAGAAGTTAATTCTGCTATGGGTTGGGTTGACTTCAAGACGCCTTGGAAAGGTTAGATATAAGATATGATGTCTTTTTTTCCAGTGTTGTGCAAAATTTGTCCTCCCAGCTGCAGGCATGCATCTTAATAAATTATGGTGTCTTTATAGACACTAATAATAATTTGATATGCTGCAGGAATAGTCAACTGGACTCCAATGGACCTCAATAACCTTGGCCAGCAAACCAGAAAACTGCTCTATGAATAATACAGAACAACCCTCACAGCGCAGAAATCTTTCTCGACAAAACCACAGAAGATTTATATCTGTATCATTTGCACATAAATGTCTAGTTTTATCTTCAAAAAGCGTTTCCAAAAACAACTTTGCTGAAAAAGCCTGCAAGTGAAAAAATATTTGTGGACTGGAGGAGATGTAGGTTACATCCTCTGTTTTTCTTTCTTCTTTTACCCTGAGAAATAAATAGGGTGATATAGACAGGTGCATTCATATTTATACAAAATTGTTTTCTCTGTCCCTTCGGCCAAGCTTCAGCTGCCTACAGTGAATGAAATAAGCCTTTGGTTTTCTAGCACTTGGGAATGGAAAGGCGCAATGGAACAGAGTTTTTTGTGATCCACCAGCTTCTGCTAGCTATATATGGAACTGAATCCAAGCCAAGGCAAAACGATCGGCTGCAGATAATATATTATTTCCAGTTATTTAAAGCTCTCTCCAAAGAGCGGGATTTGGGATCAGCCAGGAGGGAGGTGGGGTTTTTAAAAATGTAAGTGGGTTGATTTTAAAGTTTTCATCCAGTGTTTTTAATTGAAGACTTTACAAAGAATGTGAAAACTAACACAAACTAGTAAAGGATAAAAGCAAGCAAGGAAGGGAGGAAGGGAGGAAGGAGAAAGAAAAAAAAGGAAAAGTGTAGAAAGAAAGAATAAAAAGAAATAGCAAGAAATATAGGTGGTCCCAACTTATGACCACAAGGGAGACATCTGTTAAGCCCCATTTTATGATGTTTCTTGCCACAGCTGTTAAGTGAATCACTGCAGTTATTAAGTTAGTAACAGTTTTTAAGTGAATCTCGTTTCCCTGTTGATTTTGCTTGTCAGAAGTTCTCAAAAGGGGTTCACACAACTCTGGGACCCTGCAACCATCATAAATATGAGTCAGTTGCCAAGTGTTTGAATTTTGATCATGTGGCCATGGAGATGCTTGTATGGTTGAAAGTATCAAAAACCGTCATAAGTTACTGTTATCAGTGCCATTGTAACTTCAAATGGTCACTAAATGAATTAAATCAAGGACTACCTGCAGTTTCTGATTTCTTTTGTAGCAAATATAAATAGTTGCAAAAAATTTTCTCTTTTCTGTATCATCCTTTTTCTAAATCACCAAAACCACAAATCATAATCGCAGTCTTTTCATTTAAAACTTTTCAGGTGGAAGTTACATTATATGAAATATGGCCTGTTTTAACCAGGGAAGGCCATGTTTAAATTTTATTTGTTACAGAAAAGATTTCAGGAAGAGAGGTTATAAGCATCCACACAAATTTATGCAGAAGTGGAAAGCTGAAGTAAACCAGCTTTTAAAGAGAAGGTGAACAAGCTGGTCTTAGTGCTGTGTCTATGGTTCAATAAACTAGGTTTAGTGGTGGCCAGGAAGAAAGAACCCAGAAGGAGGAAAAAAAACCCTCACTGAAAAAGCAATTAGAACAACAACAAAAATCTTGCAGGATTAGTGCAAAGGCCATTCAAAAGTGCCAACTGAAGCCCAGTGGGTATAGGAGAAGATCAGGCTCAGCTGGAAGGTGGAGTGAAATGTGTCATTAGTTTGGAGTCATTGCCAGAAAAGACCCAATTCCAGAATCTCCTGAATTCCATTGACCCTTATCTAGTGTCAATTTAGCTTTGACCATTAGTGGACTAGATTCTTATGCGTAGGTAGCAATAATAAACTCTTCTGTGCTTCGTCTATGGAGATTTTCAGTCATCCAGGTCATGGATGTCCCAAAGGTGCTTTTTCAAGAGGCAACGGGACTTTCTGGTTTTTCTTTGAAGACGTTTCACTTCTCACCCAAGTGAGATATGGAGATGACTAATTTGCTGTGTGTGCAAACGTATTTGCAGAAGTTCGTATTCACAGTTGTGAATTTCTGTAAGGGATGAACTGGTTTTCCTGTTTGAGATTCTTCAAAATTATACAGGTAGCCCTCAACGTCCAACTGTTTGTTTTGTGACCATTCAAAGTTAGAATGGCACCTGAAAAGAGTGACTTATGACCATTTTCCACAGTTACAACCTTTCCAACGTCCCCGTGATCACGCAATCAAAATTCAGATGCTTGGCAAGTTTATGACTGTTGCAATGTCCCAGGGACATGTGGTCCTGTTTTGCAACCTTCCGAGTTGTCAAGGGGCAAGCCAGATTTGCTGAGCAACTGTATTATTAACTTAACAACTGCAGTGTTTCACTTAACAACTGGGCCCGGGGAAGTTGTAAAGTGAGGCAAAAATCTCTTAACAATTGTCCCACCTAAACAACATAAATGTTGGGCTCAATTGTGGCCGTAAGTCAAGGGCTACCTGTGTTCACAATTAATCCTATGGGTGGTTGTTGCAATTTTGTAAAATGCAAAGCCCTCCTTTGACTTAAAGTAGAGTGTTGTGTAGGCAATCCTCGGTCCCCCGCTAATGGCATGGCAAGAGGGGGAAATAGAGCAGAGCCACTTCCATTGATAAGCATCGTTCTGACAGGCCGTATAAACAGAGCCACAAACATGTCTGCCAAGTAATGGTAATGGATTCCAACGGCTCTTAAAATGCATCGAAGCAGAAGAGAAGGAGACCATCACTGCAAAGGGCAGGCTCACGTGTTCTGAGCAATTTTAGTTGTGTGAATGATTTGCTTGTCTCAGGTAGATCGCTGGATGGTTGCCAAACTCTTGAGTTGCCCAAGAAGGCACAAAGAAACAAAGCAAAACGCCATTCTATTTAATCCACCCTTTCTTTAATATTTTGCCCAGATAACTATATCTATAGAAGTGTTGTCTGAATTTGTATTGTTTCTGTTCCTGAGCATCTATTCCTTCTCAGTTAAAATTGAGAAGGCAAGAGGGGAAAAAGATAGTATCCCAAGGGACAGATTCCTGGATCTAAGCAATATTTTGCAGAATCAAATATTCATTCAATCAACCAACCAATCAATAACAGAATATAGAATAGAATAACAGAGTTGGAAGGGACCTTGGAGGTCTTCTAGTCTAACCCCTTGCCCAAGCAAGAGACCCTCTACCATTCCAGACAAGTGGCTGTCCTGTCTCTTCTTAAAAGCCTCCAGTGTTGGAGCACCCACAACTTCTGAAGGCAAGCTGTTCCACTGATTAATAATAAATAATAATCACTAATATAAACATTAATAAATAATAATACATAATATGAATAAATAATACACAAAATAAAGCAATAAATAAATAAATATATCCAATGAAATGGAGGGGCTGCCACAAGGAAGAGAGGGATAAACCTATTCTCCAAAGCACCAGAAGGCAGGGCAAGAAGCAATGGATGGAAACTGGATCAAGGAGAGAACCAGAGAGAAATTTCCTGATAGAGAGAACAATTAATCAGTGGAAGAATTTGCCTCCAGAAGTTGCGGGTGCTTCATCACTGGAGGTTTTTAAGAAGAGACTGGACGGCCACTTGTCCGTAAAGGTATAGAGTCTCCTGCTTGAGCAAGGGGTTGGACTAGAAGACCTCCAAGGTCCCTTACAGCTCTGTTATTCTGTTAAATCGCCTCTGGATATATCCTTTTCGAACTGACTCCATTAGTTTAAAAAGCACAGGAAAATCTGCTTAAAGATGAATATTTATCTGGGAAGTTTACAACTTCCATCGTGGACTATCTAGAGGATTAGATTTTTTTTTTCTCTTGTTTTGGCTGCTTTAATGAGCAAAATGCCTGTCCCCTTTATGTCACAGAAGATCCACAGAGTTTAGGCCTATCTTTCCTCTGTTTTGAAAATGATTTTTATTGTGTTTCAGCTTATAAGACAGTTTCCTGTGACAAAATTTCAGTGTCTTCAAAACCCGAGAGTGTCAATATTTTGCTTTGCTAAGGAAAATGTTCACCTGATGCTGAAATCTTTTTTTTCAACTGCATATTTTTCTTCTTCTACAAGGGAGGCTCCTGGCTTTCTAGCTTATCTCAGAATGCTTCAAGGTATCATTGGTAGTTATTTGAGCTTTCCTGTGAAAATGGTTGCCTTTGGTTCAGCTGTTTTTCTTTTCACAAATTTATCTTTGTTGCCAGCCTCTTTCACTGTCTCTACAACCAGATCTGGAACGGTTTGGTGAACACATTCCTTACTATACATTTCCCCTGGAGCATTAATGCATTCATTCACTCATTCAGAGCAGCTATCTCAATTTTGCAATACAGAGATCTTAAGGCTGCAGCAGTTGTGGTCAATGTCTCGTCAATGTCATTACAGGCAAGAGATTTTCAGTCTGTTTACAAGATAATTGGAGATTAAGGGGCTAAAGGAATGTGTTAAATCCATATCTTTAAATCCATATCAGAAAATTTGGAATGGAGTGGAATGTAGAATAGAATAGAATAGAATAGAATAGAATAGAATAGAATAGAATAGAA